GTGCATGTTATTTAGGGATATCAAGTCAAAATGTCTCTAATTTGCTTTATTTTTTTAATTAAAAAATTTTTTTGAAGTATACAATGTTGTGTCAATCTCTGGTGTACAGCACAATACTTCACTCATATAGGAACATACATAATTTGTTTTCATATTCTTTTTCACCATAGGTTACTGCAAGGTACTGAGTATATTTCCCTGTGCTATATAGTATAAACTTGTTGTTTACTGGATTTTGTGAGAATCCTCCAGTATTTCAAAATGAGAGGCACTCTGCCAGAGTTCAGAAGGTGTTCTGTGCAATTCAACGGGTTTGTAGACGTAATTCTTGGTGTATTTGTGGGAGTCTCTCTACTCCACCATCTTGGCTCCCTCCTATCTCTAATTAACTTGAAAATATTTTGAGTTTAAATAAAGCAAATGGTGGGGTGGGTACAGAGTGGTAGAGCGCATGCTTAGCATGCACGAGGTCCTGGGTTTAATCCCCAAGACCTCCATTAAAATAAATAAGCCAATAAATAAACCTAATTACCACCCCCAAAAATAAATAAAAATTTTAATAAATAAATAAAAATAAAGCAAATAAGGTATTACAACATTGGTTACAAAATTAGTATCATACTATTATTTTTTATATCCTGTATTCTTTATTAAACATTTTACCATAGCAATATTCCCAAATCCTTAAAACACATTTTGAAAGCAATGGGGGAAAGTATATTACATACACACACATACAGTACATAGAATCATTTATACATTTCCTGTATAACTAGTATATGCTAAGTACTATGCCAGAAGCTGGAGGCAAAAAAACTGAAAAACAAGATCCCAGTGAAGGAAATTATTGTCCCACAAAGATAAAATATGACACTGAAGGCAAAAATTACAGTATCCTCAAGGGACTGATGAAAGGTTGTTGAAATGCTGGAACATACCTTGTGCACCTGTTCCTGTACTTTCTTTTGTTTTTTCTTAGGGGCAAATATTTGATCATATTCTTCTGTATATTCCAGAAGCCACTTGCTTGGCTTCCTAAGGCGTTTCTTCTCTGTCCGCACAGCTAAAAGACGAGAAACATGTTCAGTATTAACCAAAAGGTTAGAGGAAAACCCAACGTTTTCATGCAGCCATCCCTGCACTCCCAAAGGTAAAGAGACAGAAAACTCTCAAAAACGTTCTGGCTTAAGCTCTTAGATGCTACAAAGATTTGCTATGGTTTATCCAATGCAAAAGTTGGGAGGAAGAAGACTTTTTGTTGCTCTATCCACACCCACAACCCATCTGATCGTAAGGAAAAGATTAAATTGAAACTAGTGTGACAGAGCTAACGTTAGAATACAGATTCTAAATCAGGTAAATTCACAAAATACATCATGAATTAACATTTTAAACAGCATCTCTCTGGATAATGCAGAATACTGGATGAATATTCAGATAAAATATTTACTGATCAGCACTAACACGAGTTTCAAAAACATTTTACACATCACATTATGGTCATAGTGCATTTCATGTTAGAAACATCAAAAATATGTAATTAATTACATGTATACCATTATCTCAATGATGTAAAAAAAATTTGCCATGAATGCCAAAGAAAGAAAAGAAGATAAAAATATAGCATTTGGGGTACTTGCTTTCAGGTGGGAGAAGCTCTTGTAATGTTTTATGGTCGGAAGTATCATACTGTTTTTCTTTGAATTACTGAATGTGGTAATACTGGTGTTCTCTCAACAAAAGGATCACAAAAGTTGAGACCAAAACAAAAAGAAGGTCACAGCCACAACAAGCTTGGCAAAGACTCTTACTCCTTAGCACACATGGAAACAAGCCACAAAACCTTCATTAAGATAAGTTGTGGAAAATAATTCATTTTTACTAATTCTAACTGCTGTAATTTCTTATTAGTAAATAGTAATACATCACTTAATTTATTTAAAGTCAATGTAAAAGGAAGTGAACACTTATATCCACACAAAATTTTTATGGCAGCACATGAATTTTTATGGCCCATGAATTTTTATAGCAGCTTTATTTATAACTGTCAAAACTTGAAAGCAACCAAGATGTAGGTGAATGGATAAATAAACTGTGGTACATCCAAACAATGGAATATTACTCAGCAATAAAAAGAAATGAACTATCAAAGCCATGAAAAGGCATGGAGGAACCATAAATGCCTATTATCGAATGAAAAAAAAAGCCAATCTGATAAGTCTATATACTGTATGATTCCAACTATACAACATTCAAGAAAAGGCAAAATTACAGAGACCAAATAAAATGGCTGCCAAGCTAAGGTAAAGAATTCCAGGAACAAAAGAAAAATATGACCTTTTGAATACTGAAAGAAAACAGTAAAAGCTACAAAATTACAATGTAGATGGTGCAAACCTCAGTACATCATACACAGCAAACATGAAACTGAATAGGAGCCAAAAGATACTAAGTGGTAGTATACACCAAATGTAACACTCGGCAAATAGACTTCAATGCCTAGCACAGAACCAGGACCTCCTGTGCAGAATGGAGATAAACTGTTCATACAGGACAAGTCTAGCAACAGCCCCAGACTACAGCATGTACACATCCCAGCTCAGATAATAAAATACCCCCAAAACTGGAACAACCTCAAATGTTCACTAACTGATGAGTGGATAAGTAAAAGGTGGTATGTCTATACACTGGAATACTATTCAACAATAAAAAAGAACAATATATGTATATATATATTTTAATTGCCCACCATCAGCTCTTGTCTCACCTCGCACATGTTACAGGGTCTGGCCAGCACACAGGAACTAACGAGCCTGGTGCAGGATACTCCGGACTAAAGGCACTAGGCCTGAGGCAAAGGATTCAGAGCACTGGAGCCCCCGGAGGGTGGAGGAGGGCAGCACCCAGGGGGGCAGTCAGTGCAATGGGGGGGACACAACAAGGCACTGGGCCCCCACACAAGGACGGCAAGGTCAGGGATGGAGTGAGAGAGGCAGAGGGCACAGGTGAGCAAAGCCACTCATGTCTGAGGCCAGGGTGCCCAAGTTGTTAGGTGCACAGAATATAAGGGTCTCTAAGACACAGGGAGTGGAAAAGTTGGGTGTTCCAGGCACAGGCACCTGGATGCCGGGTTTTCTGGCATAGGATTCACAGAAAGTTGAGGTGCCCAGGAACAGGATGCACAGGACATGGGGTATCCAAGGGACAAGGCACAAGGTAGGATGCTCAAAGTGAGAAGCACCCTGGGAGTAAGGAGTGCATGTGGCACCTGGGACATGGGTACCTACTAGGCACGTGGCTGGACACACAGCCAAAACAAACAAAATACTGATATGTGGCACAATATGGACAAACCACACAAACATGCTAAAAGAGCAAGACACAAAAGATCACATATTGTATGATTCCATTAATATGAAATGTCCAGAAAAGGCAAACTATAGAGACTAGATTAGTGGTTGCCTATCACAATGAGTACAAACAGAGAAAACTGAAAATGGGATAGAGGGATCTTACGGGGATGGTGGAAATATTCTAAAACGGATTTATGGAAATTGTTGTACAACTCAGGAAATTTACTAAAAATCATCTGCTTATATGCTTAAAAGTGTGTGGATTTTATGGTATGTAAATTATACCCTGAATAAAGTTATTTAATTAAAAAAAAGTCTCTTTAAGACTGAATTATAAAGTTTTCTTTTCTTCTTCAAAATGATGAATTTTCCCAGAAAACTAGAGTACTAACAACAACATCCCTTCTCCCATACAGATTATCAGCCCCTGTCATACCCCTGCTTCCCTAGTTCTGGGACCTCAGAGACAAAAGGATTTAAAGGGGGGCAGGGTAGGGGGGAGGCTAAAACCCGAATAAGTCTTCATAATAATGGCAAGTTCCTCAGTCCAAATCTCCTGTTGAAAACAAATTAAAATGCTGTAAAAAGTGTTTTAAAACTACCTTTAAAAAAAAAAAACCTATCTTAAAAGAAGCAAAGCACTGACAAAAGTATAAAGAACTACAGACCAAAACCTAACAGCAAGTAATAACCCTGGGAAATTAGAGCACTCAAACTGATTTTTGTCCTGAGGGCTTTTTGGTGATCCTATTAAAACAGGAGGCAGAAGTTTAAAGACTAAACTAGGGCCTCAGAGTTAGAGTAAAACAGAAGTAAACCATGTCCCAACCTCTAGGAGATGACAGAAGAGGCGTCTTGGCACAAAGCAGAAGGGGAGCAGGAAGGAAAAAAAGTCCCTGAGAAATTGTGACGGGTCCTCCTATGGATTTGCAGCCTGGTGGGCCAGGAAAATTCAAGCCCCCATGAAAAGAAAATCAATCAATTGTAATTAACATATCATATTAGAAGAATAAAGGAACTAAATAGGAATGATTATCTCAATAAGCACAGAAAAAAATATCTGACAGACTAAATACATACAGGAAGGAGCTTTCTCAACCTGAAAGACTGTCTATCAAAATCCCAGTTAACATCATAGTAAAATGGTCAAAAACCGGGTGATTTACCCTTAAGATCAGAACAAGACAAGGATGTCTGTTCACTCTACTAATTCTCAACAATGCACTGGAGGCTCTAGCTAGGGTAATTAGGCAAGAAAAAGAAATAAAAGACACCCAGATTAGAAAGGATGAAGCAAAACTATCTCTTTTGGCTGATGACATGATCATATACATTAAAAAAAATCCTAAGGAAATCACAATAAAATGATTAGAGCTAAAAAATGAGTTTGGGAAAGTTGTAACATACAAAATCAATATACAAAAATCAACTCTATTTCTATATACTAGCAGTGAGAAATCTAAGGAAATTCAGAAAACAATTTTACTTACAATAGCATCAAAAAAGGCTAAAATACTTAAAAGGATAAAATACTTACAAATAAGATGAACAGAAGAAGCAAAAGCCTAGTATACTGAAAACTACAAAACATCATTGAAAGAGATGAAAGACAACCTAAATTAATGGAAAGGCATCCCTTGTTCTTAGTTTGGAAAATTTAACATTGTTACAATGACAACACTGCCCCAACTAACCTACAGATTCAGCACAACCGCTTTCAAAACCTCAGCTGGCTTTTTTGCAGAAACTGACAAAATGCTCCTAAAATTAATACAGAAATGCAAAAAATCCAGGAGCCAAAATGATCTTGAAAAAGGATAAAGTTGGAGGACTTGCACTTTTCAAAGCTACAATAATTAATTACTACAAAGACTGAGTAATTAAGACTTTGTGGTACTGACATAAAGATAGACTTTCATATCAATAAAAAAAGAATTGAAGGCCCAGAAAAGAATCATCACATTTATGGTCAAATGATTTTCAAATAGGGTGCCAAGACCTTTCAGTGGGGGAAAGAATACCCTTTTCCACAATTGGTGCTGAGACAACTAGATTGGGCAACGATTACTTAGATGTGACACCAAAAGAATAAGCAACCAAAGAAAAAAGTAGACAAACCAGACTTTATCAAAATTAAGAATGTTTGCGCTTTAAAATATATAATCAAGAATGTAAAAGGTAAACCCACAAAATGGGAGAAAGTGTGTGCAAATCAATAATGGATGTGTAAAGAATTCTTAAAGTAAAAAAACAGATAGCTCAATTAAAAATAAGCAAAGGAAGGGGGGAGGGTAT